ATTTGCATACAGAACAACCACAATGTTCACATAATTCCTTTTTATTTCCATAGCACTCTTCACATTCTGACCATCCTAGTGAATCGTCATTACTTACATCCAAGTCTTCTTCTTACCAAATTTTTGATGTCAATAATGTATATTAATAATTTTATTTTTGAAATTTATTAATCGATTAGTTGAAAATTCTTACATTATCATCATCTTGAATAGATCCGATATTATCAGCTTGTGTACTATTGTTTGCTAGGGTCGTTTGTTCAAGCATTCTGGTGATTGATTGCTGGTCATTGGGCATAGATTCATCTGTTTCTCTGACATTTTCAGTTTGCTAAAATTTGTAATTCGATAATGATAAATTATTTTCAGGTTAACTCAATTATAGAAAACTTTCAAATTCCTTATCTTACTCGATTGTCATTAATGCATTCATTATCAGGCTGGTTTATATTATCAATTGAAAATTGATCATTGGTGCCAACAGCTTGCGAATCAGACAATAGTTCATTTGTTTTCTCGTTATTTTAAAGTCATTACCGTCATTCTCTCTTTGCTGTGGTTTCAGTGATTTGTTAAAATCTTAGATTATTACTAACATGTGGATTTTCAAAGCATCCTTTATTAATCATCAATTTCATAGTAAAATAAAAAATAAAAAAAAATAAACATCTATTAAAGCATTATTTTCAATAGCAACTTTTGAAATATCTTTATTTTTCTCCTTTCATTTCGAGATTTTAAAATAATCATTCATATGACTACTTTTAGCCCATTGGTCTTTTTCCAAATTTAATGTATTGTTTTCATTTGTTTGAGCATCAACATTGATTTCTGATAGTCTATCGCTACCTGGATCCTAAGTTTTATTTAAAAGTACCTTAATGTTACTGTGTCGATTGATTAATAAATGTGGCAGATTAAGATGAAATCTGATTAAAATGAAATATTTATAGTGTAAAATATAGGGCTACGTATGTGTCTGCTTTGGGGATTAATTAGGAAAATCAAATTTCATTTTAATCCAATTTCATTATGACCTGCAACAAAATATTTTAATATCGATTACATCTTCATTAGTAATAGATTCTTTCCCCTTTATATTAGCTAGATTATTGATTATTTTTCGATAAATCTCTTCAGAAATAAGAACCACTCCAGGAGTGTCCAAATTTTCAATATCTTTAGTGCTGTCAGTTAAGAAAATGGTTGCTGAGCACGATGCATCATTGAAAACAATTTTCCTAACTCCTCCCTTAGTAGCCTCCCATATAAGATTAATCGAATATCTAATAATTTCCTTTTTATTTTCTATAGTTTCGACCATTATTCTTTTAACTGTGCGATAATAAAAGAGAAAAGGTGAAAAATCAATGTGGTATCAATGATGAATTTATATTTTACAATTTGACTATTGTTGATTAAAATTTTAAAAATGGTGATGTCAACTGATATACTAATGATTTTGATAGTTTCTTAAATTACGTTGATTAATTTTTTGTCATAGACCTATTATGTAATTATAAAATACGTTGATTAAAATTTTTCTTAATAGTTCGCTTCAGGTGTGAACAATAATAATAATAATAATAATTACATTGTTATATAAATGTATTTTTTTTTTTGAGCTAATTAATTTTTAAAGCTTAAACAATAACAAAACCTTTATCATTATATGGAATTGTGGTGTTAAGCTGTTTTAGTTACGGCCTGAATTAAGATTGATTCGGGCCGTAACTTCATTCATATTAATATTTTGCAATAAAAAAAACTCTCCACTCGGTATAGTGAATTGAGTGACTTGTATATCCTCAGAAAGCATCAACCTATTGTTTCAATCAAATTTCGACATTTGCTAATTAGTCATATGACTTATTTCAGCATCCACCAGTGCCAAAATACACACGGTGAGAAGTTATTATGCAATACGAATATTTATATTCTGATTTAAAACCTGGTTAAACTGAAAATTAAATATCGACATAGTTTGAGAAAACTTAATATTAACGTTAAACTCTAATTGTAATAAAAAAGATTAAATAGCAACTAAAGATGTGAGCCGTTCATGTCTCTAGGCACAACAAATAAAATCTAAAAAATTTACAGTTTTAACTTTTATCAGCTGAAATTTATGTCTAACATTTTCTAGAGATAAAAAAAATTTTAAAAATGTGTTTTTAATATATTTTTATACCGAATAAAGCAAAAATAAAATATTTCAAAAATTGAATCTAGAATACGCACTGTGATCGTCTTTTTTTTACATTTCATTTATCAAAGAACTTTAATTCAAGTTTAAATTTATAATTGATATTGTTATATGAAAATTATGAATTACTTCTTAATAACACAAAATAAAACATACAGTTTCACTATTAGTTAGACATGTGAACTGATCTAATGATTATACTGTAGTAAATCCTTGGATATCTTATTAAATTTTGCATGGTTCACAATTCTACTATTAGATAAACGACCGATAGTCTGATTTTTTTTTTGATCGAATTGACATATAAATAAAATTCTAAAGATATTAACAAAATATACTTTAATTACTTTAATGGACTTTATTGAAAAGCAATGTATATTATCATTCATATATCAGGCACTATAATACTGTACATTTTCACTATCTCTATATTTATAATAATGAACACCTATTTTTAAGTTGGTGTTTGTTTTTTTTTTTTTACAAATTTGATAGTGGTTATCGCTATGGCTATCGCTATATCGATTTTATTAGGTCACATGAGATTTTTTACAAAATCAAAATTTTCTACTTTCAAGTTCGTTATGTGAATTTATATATATAATTAGCTTATAGCAAACTTTTTATTGAATATGAATCTTATATAGTTATTAACTAAGAATAACTCAAGAATATCGCAGGAACAAAAGTTTTGGTACCTCCCTTTTTTTTAGATCGACCTTAAAATATTAATTATGCATCAATATTTTAGTGATACCTGATATGGATTACGCATTATTTAGATCACGATGTACCCGATCACTAGTCACATGGTATCGCGCGAAATTTTTTCGATTATGAGATGCCTCCTCAATACTATAATATTTTATTTTAATATTTGCATAAAAATCAAAAGAAAAATAGAAGCAAAAAATGAAAA